TGGTGTTTCAATTTTATCGTTCGTTGCCAAGGGTGTCAAAGAATAATGGAAAGAAATACAATTTGATGGGGACAGAGGGTGGGGGGGGGGTGACTGACTTGGATAAAGTGCGATGATACGATTATACGAGTACGATTATCACCGGCATCTGATTCGATGCTACAAATTTAGTGATCAGACAGTTAAATACAATCTATCAACTTGAAGAATTCGATATCGGCCATTGTTGTGTTGTTGATCAATACTCATCATTGGTGCTTATCCGCAGTAAATAGCGTACACCTGGGTTTAATATGCTATTTTAATGATAAGAACAATGTTCGAAACGCACACGATACGTACTGACTGCAATACAAGCGTGAAACATACGGGACACCCAGTTCAGCGACGAGGCAAGTAAATATAGTAGGATCCGGTCGCAACTGAAATACGTTGTAGAAGAAGTTTTAAAACCAGGGCGGGGATTTGTCACCGCACTAACCTGCATCTCGACAAATTACCTCAATATATTCCACCAGAAAAAAAAATACGACAGTCACACTTTGGAGTTCATGATCTCACATACGTAATTTTTAAAGAGCGGTGGTCGTCGCGCCACCGCATGCGTGAGATCTGGGTCTCATATAAACAAAGATGACGCCTTTGACACCAATTACAAGCTGAGCGGTTATTAAGCTTTAATTAGGTATATTTTTGGGTAATTGGAAGATATCGAAGAAGTCGCCCGCGAAAATTAGTGTAAGTGACGCCCAGGTCAAAACTCACACACGTGATTTCATTAGAAAAGCGCATTGGATTGTGGGGGAAATCAACGTTTATCAACCCAAATGTCGCACATGCGCGGCGCGACGACCACCGCCCTCTAAGAAGTTGCGGTTTTCCATAAGCGTACACAAAAAATGGCCAACATGGAGAGAGCCACTCACAAGCTGCGCGAAATTTTCTTATCGATAGCGTTTATGCATTTTTATTCAAACCTCAAATTAGGTAAATCTCAAATAGGGATTTTTATGCAAATAATACAGTATTTTTACCAAGTAAAATCATATTTATTAAAGTTATTGTTCATATTGTTGTTGAACACACTAGATAGTTTGTAGCTTCATTTAGCTTCTTTCAGTCTTAATTCAAGACAAATAAAAAGCAAAAATATAGAGAATATTGCAAATCTTTTTTCTGTGAAATCCTTGTGTAATCAGTAATTATTTACAAGTGCAGAGGTATTACATTTCGTTATGAATTATTCTTAATATAAATTTCTAAATTATCTTGTCAAAATCAATTTTTTCCGTGTTTTTTCTTTCAAAAAACGAAGGAAAAAAAATCACAATGTCGAAAACGGAAAGTGTTTATCGTAGTGTTACCGATAGAGCAGTAACGCAAACACAAAGAGATACACCAAGTATATAAAATAAATGAATCAGAACTTTAGAGATATCAAACGTAAAATTCCAATAATTAGCAAAACTTTATAAACGATCATCGACGATGCAGACGAGCGATCGTCACCACCGGGGGCGCTGTATATGACCACCCGGTCATGTAAATCTTGCGGGTCACGGTAATTGTCAACAAGGCTGATGGGAGTATCCCCTGACTCAGTCCTGTACAGGCTACGCAATTCTCCCAGCTGCAATAATAAAATAGGGTAAGCGTCATATTAGCCGTATTCATGTACAAATTTAAAACCAATAAATTTAAATTTAATTTGGGAAAAACATAACATTTGTTGAGGGTCGGCAAGGGGTTCTTTCGTAAGCTGTAATCGAATTGTGTTTATTTTCGTAATGATTTAATTTAAATAAATAAAAAACGTAAATTCGTAGACATGGGTAAGGTGTAAATTGTAATCAGCTATTTTATTCGTCCGTATCTTGTACAAAGATATTATTGTTTGTAAGGTATAAAGCATTTTCCCAATTAAATTTCGTACGCAATTTCTAATTTTGATTCTTAAACAATCTTCAATAATTGCGACAGTGACCATTCCTATGTAACCCGTGTGGTATTATTATATGTACTGCGCCCTCTATTGGTGCGTATGCTCATGAATAGTAATGAGGCTATTTGACCCTTGCCCCAACTCCCGCCTGAACGAAAGTGATCCTGCCGCACATCTAGTTCACGCGCTGCCAGAAATTCTTCTTTTGTGTTATATGTGAACTTTGTTGGTCCTTGGGTGCTTTATAATCATTTCAGGTATGTACTGATCTTGTACATTTCAGAGTTTTAGATTGATGAGTAATATTTTACTGTAATTTTGATTTTTT